CTCCCATCCCCCCAAACTCTAAAACTTAATTTTAGTGGGTTTGAATCTGGGCATTTTTCTCTGAAGGACTAAATATACTAAACCATAATACCACTGCGCGTATGAAACAGTGGAACGCTGCAGAAGACAAGGTTCCAGTGAGAGCTGCCCTCTTGCTGGTTGGACTAAACAAACCCAGGAACAGTTCAAGTCTATCAGAGGAGAGTGCAAGGAGTAGGAGGCCACTGAAATAAATCCCTGAAGTGACTATAACTGTACGCAGTCCTTCCATGAGCAGATTTTCTGGAATAAAAAGAGTGCTCTGCACCCTTTCTGGTCCTGGTCTTGGAAGCTGTTTATGTGAGCAGGCTGTTGAGCTTGTGCAGCGTTACTGTCTGTGTTCAAGACACACGTGGAGACCGTTTCTCTAATCCAGCTTTGCACAGACCAGAACAGTCATTGCAGTGAACAGAAAAAGAGTGTGTTAAATTAGAAACCTAATGGGAGACTAGATTCTGATCTACTAATAGAATATCAAAGTTTGAAAAAAAAACCCAACAGGATGCTTTTAAAATTCAGTAGGTTGTCTGATAATATCTGGTACGAGTGAAACCTTAGATTTGATGAGAACGTGAATCTCCTCTTAACAAATGAGCCCCACTGACACATATTCAGAAGTGTTCCTTTCCTCCATTAATAGAAAGTCTCTGAGTACAAAGGTCCTTCCTTCTGCGACAGCCGTGAGTGGGTTTTGCCCAGAAAGCCCCAAAGAAATGTGCTCCTTCCTTGGGCTGCTCCAGGACAGCCAAACAATGAGGGCCTTGTTCCCAGGGCAGGCTCATAGGTGTGGTTTTAAAACCGGCGTTGGGGGAAAAGTTCAAACTTCCTAAAAGTTCCCTGGTAACAGGCAGATGGAAACTTTCATTGTTTTTGGATGAGGTCTGAAAATAGTGGAAATGTAGAGCTGCTTGGGGAGTGTGGATGGGACTCGAGCAGGGCACAGTCAGCTGCCTGAACAGCTTGAAGCTCGATTTTAATTGTAATGTGAATTAAAAAAATGTAACATGAACTCATCTTCCTGTGTAGAGATCAACAGGAAAAGTTTTAAATAAACTGCCAAATATTGAGCTTCAGCTATGTAGGGCAGCGTGCAAGTATGGGGATCACAGCCTTTCCCATGATGTTGCACAAACCCCTCATTGCTGATATTTCAGGATGGATCAAGAATATGAGGACATAAGGATACCACTGGTATTCTTAACCATTGGTCATCTTAGCCTGAAATTTTTTGTCCTGGTAAGGTGTGAATTACCTTACCGAGTAAGTAAATATAGCCAAGCCACCTTGCTGCAGACCAGGGCATGGACTTTAGTCTTTTAGGGCTTTAGCTAGTCTTTGACCAACTTGACTTTCCATTGAGAATTTAGCCAAAAAAGCTAGCAGTATGCTGGCCCTTAGCGTGGAACAAACCCGCTAAAGGTATTTAAGTGTGAACGCATCCTTTTTTAAATGAAGGCCTGTTTTGTAAATCGTATTTCCTTTGCAATTATCCAGCATACGTGTACTTTTTCCAAAAGAGAGTTTGTGGTTTGTGTGGGTATTTTGTAAACATTAAGCTAGAGGCAGAAAAACCTAACCTGTATCTCCGTAGCTGTATGTATATTGCCATTGAATTGCTCAGGGAAAATAAAATGGGGTGCTAGGATGATCGGTCATGTAATCAAATCAAAGTTCATCCACTCCTGCAATCACTCCGAGAGAGAGATGTGACTGGAGTTAGTTCTGATTATGTATTTCTGTTTGAATCCCTTCCATTTACTGGCGAAGATTTCCTACCGTGCTTGTGGTTCAGGTCAGCTAACCCGCTGATAGCGTGCTCTCCTGCTAAGGGAGTGTGCGTTCTGCCTTCAGAGCTCGGATCTACAGCAAAGTCCCTGTGCCTTCAGCAGTGACACTTACCCGCTTTCTGTGGGAGCGGAGACAATCCTCTCCATTAACTGAACGGTGGTCATCCCTGATGTTGTGGGACTCTTCTCCCAGTAGTTTACATCTGTATAGGACTTGCTGACACCATCCCTGTGTGCAGGCATCAGCCAGAGGAAAAGATCCAGGAGTCCTTAGAGCATCTGTGGTCAGCTCATCTGGTCTTAACTCACTTGTCAAGGTGAAGCTTTAACAAGCCTTACTTGGGGGACAACTCATTTATGGCCACCTGGGCTTCTCCTGGCTACCGACATCAGTCACCTGCTTCAAAGCAGGCTGTGTTCAGGCTCGTGGGAAGTTCAGTCTGCAGCACCAAGCTACTTAGGGGCCTCGCACCCCTCCTGCCTCACAAGGGTGCTCAGCCCTGTGTGCCATTCTGTCACAGGGTCCCTCTGTGTCATGCTCCAACCTTATCTCACCTTGGTACCTGATCTGGGGCAAATACGCCTTGAGCGTGTTAAGGGAGGACTCCTGAAAGACATTCGCTAGGTCTCTGGGTAGTACACAGGACATCTGTCCTTATCTGATACTGTGTCTTTGAGCCTGGGGTAGATCTGGGACAGGATTCAGAATTCACAAGCTCCGGCTTCCAGAGGTGTTTGGGGGAGACGGAGAGTTGCCCATGGAGACTTAGCCATGGTACTGGCTGGTTCTGGGTTCTCCCAGGCAGAGTTCACACCTCCTGACTCCTGCCTACTTTCCTGCTAGAGAGCATTGCCTGCTTCCGTATAGCCTGTGACTTCCCCCTTTCTTTGTTTCTGTAACTATGCTCATCTGCCCTTTTCCTTTCTGGTTACCCATTTTCACCTGAAAATCCCCTTTCCTTGGTGTCATAGTCTGCTGTCCTGTGTTACAGTTTTCCATTCAGAATTTTCTGTAGGGTCATATCTGCTCTAAATATTGTTTGATGTTTCCCCATGTTGGCCCACAAGCTGCTGTGACTGTTTTACCAGTCATGTGGTGTTTTGCAGATGATGTCAGAAATGTCAGTTGCCTTGTCCACAATACTTTAAAAGAAATCAGATGCATGGTTATTTTCATCTGAGTAATTTCTAGGGAGACCAGAGGATTGTGCTAGCTGATAAGATTAACTTGTGCAAAATAGAGACCTCCAGAAGATGTACCTTTGCTCTAGTCAAGATGTGAATGACAGGCCAAGAGAATCGTGACTTTCTCAGTGTGATTTGTCAGAAGCCACCTGGAAACTTGTACAAAAAAGTTCCCGAATGGAGTTAAGAGGAAGATGTGACTCAGATCCAGTTGTGGTCTAGACATTTCCATGTTCCTCCAGGGAAACTGCTGATAGCAAGCAGACTGTAGAGGAGTCGAGCCAAAATGCAAATCTCTACCTGAAGGTTAAGTCTTTAAAGAAGCTCTGCCACTGTGGGAGTAACCATAGTGTCCAAATCCATCTGTAGTTTATTAGTCAGGTTAACTCAGAGGACAGTGGTGACCGTGTACACTACCCTGGCCTGGGGAAGGGAGCAGTAAGACAGAGCCGGCAGCAGGCGTCACATCCTTTCTGTGCCACGTGGGCGATGTAGGGCACAGCTGTGACGCAAGCGCAGCGTAGAAATTAAGATTGTTGCAGTCTCAGTCATGTAACTCTAGCGATGCCTAAAACTGTTCCTAAAAATGGGCTGTGCCCTTGAGCTGAACTCCAGTGATTTATTTTTTTTCTTTCTTTCCTTTTTCAGATGGGTATGCGTTTTCTCAAGAAGAACACGGTGTTGTTTCCCAGTCACAAGTTGTTCGATCCTACGATACGACCAAAAGGAAAACAGAAATAGAATAAATAGTTCTGTACTTGATGGGTGGTGGGAACAATGGGATTTGGATCAATGCAGCCACTGTTAACACTTTCTTGACTGGGGTTGGCAGCAGCAGCCAAAACACCAGAGAACTCATTTCTGTGGCCTTAGCCAACAAGTTTTTGTGTTCTCCCTGCAGACCTTGAGTTCATATTGTGGGGGGGGAATCATTGTTTGAATTCAGTTGCGAAGCTCTGCCTAAAGTTTCGTTCATGTTGTTATGAAGCATTTGACTGTGTTATGTGAGGTGTGAAATTAAAAGCAATGTTTTACCGCTATTTAAAACATCAGCATAAGGTTGTTCTGGGAGAAAAGTAGGAAATTTATGTTCCATGAGAAATTAGCCTTTGCTTAATTGGAACGGGGTGCTGAGATTTCCTGTTTTGTTACACACAGACCAAGTGCACACGGCTGCATGCAGACCTTACTCCCTCTAATATTCACTGTTTACTAATGTGGCTGAAATTTTGGCATAAAATTTTTCACTGCAACACATTCTGTAGCTAAAAATGCTTATTTGCCTTCTTAGGACAGAATAACACAAGATAGCAATGAATTACTTAGAATATTTCTTGCCCTCTTACAGGATTTATTAGGGCTCTATCTTAGCTTTCTGAAACCCAATTAATAGCTTACTTGCAAAGCTAGGATGTGGAAGACAGAGAGCTTGGCAGGGCAGCTGACTTGAGCGCATGGCGTTGTGCACAAAGATTGAACTCAAGTAGGTGCCTCCTGGTAACTCCGCAGATTGTGTTCGGACCTGCACTTCAAATGTAGCCAGGGGATTCCCTCCGTGATCCCATTTCCACTCTTAACAGTAGAACAAAACAGTGAGAACTTAAAAGGTGCAAGCCTGTCAGATGTTGAGAAGGATGATGAGCATCCGCACAGGAGGCTGATGCTGTAACCCTAAAGAAGCATTCCCCTGACCAGGTAGGATAGGCTGGTGAAGGAAAGTTAGGAAGGGTTTACACATGTGCGCGCACACACGTGTACACACACAGAGCTGGTCATTGTGAAGAGGAGACCTGCTGCTTGTTTGTTCAGCCAAACCAGCCCCTCTTCTAGATACCATCCATCAACAGGCTTCCCGACGCACTCGGACCCGTGAGCCCTGGAAGGAATGCTGGCTCCACGGCCTCACTGTGCCAGCGGGACAGGCGTGCTGCTGCATAGATTGGAATTTTTTGGGGGGAAAAAAAAAGGGCAAAAACTGGGGCATAAGTTAAAGCTGAAAGAGCTCTTAGAAAGCTTATGCTGTCCTCCAGACAAGTTCTATTAATTTTAGTCGCCAAGCCATGTTTCTGAATAGTATGAAGTAAATACTGCTGTGTTTTAGCCAGGTTTCGTGGTTAATGTGTATACTACATCTGTACATTTAAAAAGTTGGCGCTGTTTTTTGCCCTATTGACCGTCTTCCAGAACTTTTTATTGATTTAAATATATCCGAAAGCAATTTGAATATGAATATTTATGTATAGCCAAGGAAAAGGAAAACGCCAGCCTGGCCCACTGGCTTAATCTTCCTTAAGGGTTGTGAGTAAATGCCAGCACTCGAGTGTCGCAGTTCAATTCCCAGTGCCACCTCAGAGGCTCAGAGTCCCCTTCCGCGTTAAAAAGCAACTTTTGCTCCTGCAGCGCCAGGCAGGATTGCTCTTGGATTAGGCTGATGGCACAGAAGGAAAAGTCATCACCACCTTTCTGCAGTGCTAATGAGACAATTATGCAATAAGGGGAACGTGCAAATAATTTTGCCATAGGCATGAATGTCAAGGGGCCAAGTGTGGGTGTACATATTTTCTGGGAGATGAATTTTGTTTAAAGGCACGAATACTTGTAAAGAGGATAAATAAGGGGAGGCTCAACCTCATCCCAGGCACTTTTAAATCTTAGTGCTGATCTAATCTGTTAAACACTTTCTTTTATTTAGAAACAAAATCTATTTAGGAAATGTGTGGTGTAAGCCTGTCCTCGAAACTGCTAACTGTTTCTTCCTTTTGTAAGGACACAAGGAAAATTAACTTCCCACCGAGACAAAAAGAGATCAGCTTAGTCTTTGTACTCTAAGCCACACACTAAACATTGGTATGTAAACAATTTGGAGGCTTTTCATGAGGATACGGAAAAAAACCTTGTAAAAACCTCTGAATAATGAAGAAGGGCAAGTAAGTGTTTTGAGCAGAGAATGGAAGGGATCCTGGAGTCTTTTCTGTTCTTAACTTAGTGCAACAAAGTTTTACAGAACATAATGAGAGATGCTGGGGAGGAGCAGCTGTCATCTAATGTGATTTATTTTATTAGTGCAGACTATGGGCTGTATCATTTTGACCTCTTTGTAAATTGAGGTCAGTGAGTGTCACAAACACAAACCCTCCCTAGAGTGAATAGCGGCTTAGATTGAGGTGCGTGTGTTGGATGTCAGCTCAATGGGAATTACACATGGGGTTTGCCACAGCGCTATACAGTATGTGACACCGGGGCTAGCGGGTCAGACTTTATCATCACTGTAAGGCCTTAATCTCTAGCTGAGTTAATCCTGTAGAGCCCACCCAGGTCAAGACCTGGCATTCTTTTTGTTCTTCGGAGTCATTACAGGAATTAATGTATTGTAATATGCTGTAGCCTGGCCGTTGGAGTTGCTTGTCTCGGTGAACAATGATGAGGTGTATTCCGGTGGTGCGTTAGCAAAAGGAGAAGGGCAGCTGCTCCGCATCAACAGAATTCCTTGTTCATTAATGCAAACGCATGTAGCAGTAACAGCAACCTTTGAAAGCGCTATGTGAAAGCGTTATCAACTAGACAGGCTATCGGAGCAGAAGGAATGGGAGCTTTCTGCTTGACTGTCCAGATTTAACTACCTAGGGCTGATCAGAAAAGGGTTTCCTGGGCAGCGCTCCGCACTGACCACAGTGGGGGGGGCTGAGCATTCAGAAGGAAGTGGTGATTTTCCGGAATTAAACCTGGGTGCTCCTTTTTGTAACGCCATAATCGCTGCTTGCATAGAAGCTGCTGTTCCTTTAACGATTGCCTAGTAGCAAATTAGAGCTGGTGAGCGGGAGCCTGAGCTGAGCACTGCTGAGCAGTCTGTTGACATTTTCTTTTCCTTGACAGGGCTTCAGGTCTTGCTGTAGGGAGCTAGCATGGGAAGTCAGTAATAACTTGTCAAGGAGAAATGGCGAATAACCAATAAAAGTATTTGAGTCAAACTAAGCTGCTAATGTATCTCAAATGTGTGTGGAGTTAACATGAACTATATGGGCTGTAAATTAAGATAACAGTCAAGCCTCACTAATCTGCACTTCACTAGACCACACGCCTCTTAGTGCACGCCAAAAATGCGCAGTCTCTTCCCCTGCCACAGCCAGCAGCTAATAGCAGATGCTGCAGGGAAGTCTCCTGTTACCAAGATTACATTATTTTTACAGCATGTACTGGAGTGTGTTTGCTGCGAGACAGTCAATGCTCATAAATAAAGAAGAGAAAGTTCCGGTGGACCAGAATAAGTGAAACACAAGGGTCAGCGGCCACGTTGGGTGCGACTTGGCCCTCTACGGACAACCCCAAGAACTTGAGAGGTGCAGGGTCCCTATGCTGTCGCTGTCCCTGTCCTGCAAGCTTATTCTGCCCTTTGGGGCTAAGTCACCAAATGTACTGTTTTGCATTGCCTCCAGTCATCAGTGCAGACTAGTGATGCCCTATTTACATTTTCCAGTTTTATAAATAATGACTTAATTTCATTTTTAAATACTCTGAGGACCGTACTTTTGCTGTTATGCCTTACAGCTCAAGTGTGAAGCAAAGCAGCCCTTGAGTGGGTGTTCACTCCCAAGAAGCACTTTGGATTTGTCAGATTTCTCCCTAGTTTTAAGGCACCGAAGATATTTTACCCTAGTTTTGGATCATCATGCAGTATCAATGCCTTAAACTTCAGTTGGTTTGCAGGGAGAGCTCTTTGTGTCTTGTTGAGTCTCACAATAAACAGTGATGATATGATATACCTGATGGCTTGGAGGAGAAGTTGGCTGATGCCTGATACATCTGGGTAGGAGTTTGCTTCGGAAATGTGGCACTGACCATGCATGTTCCTCAGTCTCCAGACAGCTGGGCTTCTTCCGTCCTATCAGGAACAACCCTTGTACTTAGGTCTTCCAGAATCTGTCTGTGCTGCAGCTCCGTGCCTCCTTGAGGGTGCTGAGCACCAAGCGGATCCAGATCCTCCCTACCTTGTACTTGCAGGTCCCCTGGGCACAGCCCTGGGGCTGTTGCACAAGTAGTTGTTGAAGGCACAAAATGCCTGTCAGATGGGAAGAGTTTGAAATTCAAGTCCATGTGTTGTTCCTAACCATAACTCATAATTTATGTCACTGCAGACAGTGTAAAGAGATGTACAAGAGATGACGACTCAGCAGGCTATGAATCTGATGACTGGACTTGTACACAGCCCTGTCCCATCCCACTGGTCAGGCCTTGTGTGAGCAACTGTGTTGCTTGGTGAGTGAGTGAACAGGCAATGACTCTTCTCTTTAGCATGTTGCTTGTTTGCAGCCGTGTCACTGTTCCTGAGAAGCCCTCTGTGCCAGAGCTCTGTCCCAGTTCCCGCTCTGAAGGGTGACTCTCCAACCAGGCTGAAAGGGGCAGCCCCGAGGAGCTGCCTGTTCCGTAACATGATGGCATAGTTGTCTTCGTATCAGAGACGGTGGCCAGTGGGGCTCTCCCAGCAGCAGCAGCGAGAGGGGTGAGACAAGCTGCTCCAGGAGCACAGCCCCTGCTTCTTTGGAAATGACCTGTTAGTGCTGATGAGGTCAGGCCTTTGACATGACCTGAGCTTTCCGATGGATGTTTCTAGAGTTTGTTCTTCTGATGCTGAGCCTTCTGGGTTGACTGCAAACAATTCCTGTTAGAATAGAATGAAACGTGCTTTTATCCATTTTCTGTACCATACATGAAAGGCTCGGTGCTTTGTTTGGTGAAACCATACATGTTG